AGTCCTTAGTAGGGATTAAATTACGGGGTTTCTAGAATCCCTTTTCAAGGCCTGTCAGTATGAGGGGCAACATCCCAAGGCTCATGGCCTGTGCCCCCCCCCCCCCCCTGCCGCGTGTGCTCAGAGCCTTCTCTTTTTCGTTTTTTTGTTATTTAATTTTGTCCTTCGTTTGTCTAAAGTAGGTGTAATACTAGTGATACCACGATCATCGGGAGACTGCCTACATGATTTATGGCAATTGGCAATTGCCCAAAATCGGGGGTCCCCATATATACCCAGACGACTATACTCCTTGCTTGACGATGTTACAAAGGTCGTGTTAAGCGAGTATATGGTTGCAACAAATGAAGGAGCTCTACAAGTTCAACCTAATTTCCATTAAGTAGCTCAACAAGAAGAAGGCATGACAGGCGAACACCCTCTTCATGTGGCATCTATATATGCAAATATATAAGTATATATATATATATATATATGTAGTTCTAAGACCATGAAGGATCTATTCCCAGCAAGACGGCCTTGATGCAGTCGCATGCATCGTCGACCGAACGTTTTTGCAGCTTGCTTACTTGAAGCATGCCCACACCCTAAACCCTAATCCCCAAACCCCAAACCCCAAACCTAAACCCTAAACCCTAAACCCTAATCCCCAAACCCTAAACCCTAAACCCTAAACCCTAAACCCTAAACCCTAAACCCTAAACCCTAAACCCACATGAATAATGAAACGGCTTCCCTCCCGGAGCTCCGAGGGTTCGAGTTCGGTAGTGGAGGCCTGATGAAGCCGTTCAACCCCTTTACCCTCTACTTGGAGGTTCATTCGGGTTTAGGGTTTAGGGTTTAGGGTTTAGGGTTTAGGGTTTAGGGTTTAGGGTTTAGGGTTTAGGGTTTAGGGTTTAGGGTTTAGGATTTAGGGTTTAGGTTTAGGGCTACTTATCAGTAGTGCGACCATGGGTTATAACCCTTGTTAGGGCACTTGTAACCCTTGCAAGTACCCCAGAATGAACCTTGAAGCCAGCCAGCCATAAAACGCAAGGGAGTTAATCCCGGGTCGGAATAGACACGAATGGTATTCCCGTATCGTCCCCTTGTTTTTGCAATATACTAGAATCACCCTCAAAATCCCTATTCTAATTCTTGAAGGCCCCTATCTAGTAGACAGTTTTCATTGCCGAGCGTGCTGCTGGGATCCTCAGCACTGCCACGAAAATGAGGCGGGGGATTTTCTTATCACCGAAGCCCTTTGCCTCGGATTTGGAGGAGATCACACACACATATATATATGTATATGTATATATATATATAACTTTTATATAAGCAGCCATTATCTGTATAAGCATATAATTTTATTTATTTATTGCTATTTGTTTGTGTATCCTTTATAGTAGCCATGAACTGTATAAGCAACTTATTGCACTGTAGATAGGTACACTAACTTCGAGTTCCTTCTTGGGGGCGACTGTTCTCATAGATTGCGTGGGTTAGAAGGGATGTAAGGGGCCGGCATGACACTTACGGAGGCATAGTGGGGTTGATTCAGGCCTTACTGTTGAGGAATGTGTGGGGCCTTATGCTTTCCTTTCAGCACAGATCTTCAGGAATCCAAGGTGCCCAAGAACCCGAGGTGTGTTGTGAGTCCACACCCTTGCAAACTCCAATTTAAGGTTTGGTGTTGAGGGTTCAGCATTTGGTCTAAATTCTACCCTAAACCCGAAACCCTAAACCCTAGATCCTGAACCCTGGATCCTGAACCCTACACCCGAAACCCGAAATCCTGAACAACCCCAAACCCTAAACCCTAAACCCTAAACCCTAAACCCTAAACCCTAAACCCCAAACCCCAAACCCCAAACCCCAAACCCCAAACCCCAAACCCCAAACCCCAAACCCCAAACCCCAAACCCCAAACCCCCAAATCCTGACTCGACTCCCGGGCTCCAGACCCAATCTGCGACTGGACGGACATGGTGGGAGCTGGGCGCCCGGTCGGCCCTCAACCTGTTCCCATCTCTTGGGTTCTAGGTTGGGGTTTAGGGTTTAGGGTTTAGGGTTTAGGGTTTAGGGTTTAGGGTTTAGGGTTTAGGGTTTAGGGTTTAGGGTTTAGGGTTTAGGGTTTAGGGTTCACGGTTTAGGGTTTAGGGTTTAGGGTTTAAGGTTAGGGTTGAGGGTTTCTGGCTGGGGTGTTTCCCCCCCCCCCCCCCCTATACCAACAGTCCTTAATGGGGAATTCATTAGGGGATACTATAATGCCGATTAACTGTTAGTACAATGGGAACATGTCCCACGGCCAGTGTTCAGGTTTGCAGGGTTTACAGGGTTTATAGGGTTTATAGGGTTTATAGGGTTTATAGGATTTATAGGGTCTGCAGGGTTCGAAGGGTTTATAGGGGTT